ATAAAAATCAGAGATTAGTTAGGATACAGGACTCCACAAACACACAGAATGCACAGACAATATAAATACAAGGTAATGAGGGGAGCGGGAACTGGTGGGAAACCAAACTGGAGACAACTAAACAAATGAGATGGAAGGAACAACACTTGCCAAAAGAAAACGGGAAGAGAGACACAACTGAATGTGCACACAAGATCAACTTGACACACAAAAAAAGACCAAAAGAGAGACAAGGCTGAAGGAACATGAAGTTATCTATAACTAAACTATAAAGGCACAAATTACAAAACCACAAACAACCAAAACCAAGCATCACTTCTCTGCATTTAATTATTAGTTATTATTCATCTCTGTTCTGCACGATCTGATATCGTCGTGTTGGTGTTGTTCCCAGATCATCATACTAAATGTTGTTCCAGGATCAACATTGCAAGTGACCAATCAGAATGTTGTGACGTCATACTTTTGCGACTTCGGGAAAAACCACTGTAAAACAAAAAACTGTACTTAAGCTGCGAGAAACCGCCTCTGTCCGCCGATCAACAGACCCTGACCCTAACCCTGACCCTAATCCTTTAATAAACGGTAAGCAGAATTAATATTGTCCTTGCAACATTGGAATTTCATAAATGCAGGAATGGCTTGGCACGCAAAAGAATAACGTCACAACAATGTGATTGGTCACTTGCAATGTTGAACCTGGAACAACATTTTCATGATGATCTGGGAACAACACCAACACGACGATATCAGATCAGCCCTCTATTCCACACTATGTCTTTGTCCTGTCCTTCTACCCTCACCCCCTACCGGTCGTGCCAGATTGTTGCCCCTCTCTGAGCCTGGTTCTGCTGGAGTTTTTTTCCTCTTAAATGGGAGTTTTTCCTTCCCACTGTCACTGAAGCACTTGCTCATTGTAGTGAAGATATCAGGGATAGGCATGATTGTGGCACTGATTCAGTCTTTAGCACTACGTTTACCCCGGTGTGTTGGCCAGGACACCACTTGAGGCCAAATTGTCCCAGAGTATGGAAGAAGGAGCTTGAGGTTTGGTTTGAGGCACTTTATTTTCACAATTCAATTCCTGTGGCTGTAAACACAGGTGGCTGAGTGTGTGTGGTTTCCTACAAGGGAAATACACAATACAAATAAATGATAAATAAAGAGAATAGATAAGTGACATAATCAGATATAGACATAATACAACATTGTTAACATAACTATATATAAAGATCAGAGTAATGTAGTACACTTCTACTTAAACTGAACGGCATTACTGCGAGGTTAAGCAACCATCAGTACATAGGAACTACTTCCGGTAGTTGAACCAAAATAAAGGCTTCTATATTATAATCCGCCGTAATTCTCTCATTATGAAGAGCAAGCGGGAATACTTCCGGTCTACTACGATCTGATTTTAACAATCCTCATAACAAATTGTCCGCTACAAACTCTGTATTATAAAGTAAACAATCACGGGCACCACATACATACAGAGAACCTCTAATAGCACAGGAATGAAGTTATTGACATATAGTGATGGGAATAACGGCATTACAAGTAACGACGTTACTTTTTTCAGTAACCAGTAATCTAACTAATTACTATTCCTATTGTTTCAACGCTGTTACAGTTACTAACAAGAAAATGCGGTCCGTTACTATTTTTCAACAAACAGACCGCATCTTATATCAGTTGCACAAAAGTAGCTGACTGCATAAGTAATCTGGAC